GTGGGTTATGGCCTAGTAATTTTTGTAATGCTAGGTTCAACACCAGGGAATTCGTCTACATCCGCAACTGCAAGTAATGGCTGGCCATAGTTGTATCAAATGTACATTTTTATAGACTCCTGTAAACATGAATATTGTGAGGAAAAGATGATTACAAGGACATTGATATTCCAAGTAAAAGAAAGACTGTTACATTACAAGGGAAAGAAAGCATGAAGATGTGTGGTGGTTTGTGAGAGAAGGAAATGAAATTTCCTTCTTAAGTATTTGCTATGGGGGGAAAACTAATGACGAGGCTTTTAAATAGACCAGTGCCCCCTACCTCCTCTGAGGATTCTGCCCTTCTTTTGTAATGTCATCCAAACTATGAGTCCTCCATTATTTTAATTGATAATCTTTGTATTTGTTGATGAGGATGAGTATAATTAATGACTCTGTTCTAACGTGAGCTTAGGGTTGAGATTTATAGAATTTTTTTTTCTTTATAGTCAATGGTCCTCTTGGCTAGATGTGTGGGTTCTATGACGACGTGGCTTTGATTTGTGATGGTAGTTATGATCTAGGGTGGTTTAATTTAGAATTTTGGTTGTTTTGGGCTATGTGGGTTCGAATTCCAGTTATACCATATTTTGGTGTTGTGAGTTCTTTAGTTGTTTGTGTGGATTTTTTTTTAAAGATTCAAGTTATTAATCCTGTCTCCTTTCCCTCCTTCACCGCGTTCTCTGCAAACCTTAGTTACATCGTCACCAAACTCACTACAGGACATCGCATGTCGCCTCCAACCTCCCGTGAACCCTAGTCCCACAGTCTCGACCGACGCACCCTCACCCATGCTATTACCACATGACAACCCTTTCTTGCAGTGGTCGAATCAATGTTTAGTGTGCTACATGAAGGTGTTCTCAAGACCATGGAAAAGGCTGTATAAAGAATATGGGATTAATTGGTTGCACATAGTGAATTGTTCTATTAATTAAATTTTGATCTTGTGGGTGTTTGGACTGAAAATGTTCCAGGCCTAATTATAAGGCCCAAATACTTTACAAACCAACGAATAGGAGAATGGGCTTTAATTTGAAAGAAAATAAGCAGTGGAAGCCTAATTAAGTTTCGACCGAGTGTGACACGTTACAAGGGTTTTGGAGGGAAATTTTGTCCCGAAGCATTTTGGACTGGTTTGGGGCTACATTGATTTTTTTAAAAGCAGCTTATGAAAAAAAGTTGATGTCCAAAATGTGTTTGGTAAATGAAAAAATAATATATATTTTTTTCAAAATCACATGTCCAAAATAGTAGATTGCAACAAAAAGTAAAAACACGGTATTTTATGCTTCTCAAGAAAGTTTTAAAGAATGCGGATTTTGAGAAACACTTATTTTCAAAGGAGGCGGAGTGATAGTAACCTTTAATAAAACTATCAAATGAAAATCTTGCCCTCTATTTTGTCATTAGCTTCTACGTTCTATGTCCACATTGATTCGGAAAAGATGATGGCTACATTGCCCTTGTTAGCCATCAAAACAACACACTTTACATCCAAAGCTTTACTACACCGATGAAGCAGCGAGCACCTGGGTTGCCGACGAGGGAGGAGTAGAGGCAACGGCCATGGAGGAGCAACAGATCTAGGTCATCGACAAGGGAGGAACAATGGCAGCAGCCATGGATCACCTGGAGGAGGGGAAGAAATTAGTGAAAATTTCTGGGAAATCGGAATCTGTGGGAGTGTGCAAAAGGTGCAGTGGCACAGGGCCACGAATTTCTGAGAGCCCAAAAAAAAAAAAATTCAATTTCCTATATGTTACATAGGAGTATAAATTTTCTAATAAAAAGGTTTTTGACTGAAAAGAAAAATCATCATCATATGATTTTATTGATATAAAATTGATTAAGTGGAGTCTATACTTAATATATTAATTGTCCACTTTTTTCTAGCAATATAAAAACTTGTATATTACTTTCTTCCACTTTTCTCTAGCAATAAAAAATTAACTTTTGTATTACTTTCTTCTACAATCACAAGCATATTTATGTATCTCTCTTTCGGTCGTGCTCCATTTTTCATGGATGAACCCTAAACCATTATTTCATGGCAATTTGAAATTATTCAATTAGTAAGAGTGAGATGTTGATTTTAGTTAAGTTTGAAGATTGATTGTTGGCTTCTGTGTCAATATATTGTCCACAAAATTATATATGTTTTTTAAATAAAGCAGACCTTTTTATTAGAGTCTCAAAATGTCAGAGACAGTCCTGATCGGAATGAAGAGAAAGAAGGGAGACAATAGAGCATCTGGAGGAAGGGAACAAATTAGCAAATCTCTTTATGGGCTCAAGCAATCGCTCCATGCTTGGTTTGACAAGTTTACTCAAGCAATGAAGAAATATGAGTATCGCCAGAGTCATTCAGATCACACTCTATTTCTGAAACATAGGCTTGGCAAATTGACTGGTTTAATTATTTATGTGGATGATATGATTATTGTAGGGGATAAGTCAGAAGAAATATAGAAGCTATAGGTAAATCCTACATCTGAATTTGAGATGAAAGGTTTGGGAGAATTGTAGGACTTCCTTGGAGTTGAGGTCGCCCGTTCACCTATAGGAATTTTCTATGTGTTGGATTTGTTGAAAGAGACTGGTATGTTAGGTTGTAAGCCTCTGGGTAATCCTATGGTAGAAAAGCATCACTTGGGTATTTACCCTGATTAGATTCCTATTGATATTGGTAGATATCAAAGACTTGTGGGGAGATTAATTTATTAATTTCATACTCGTCCTAATATTGCATATATTGTGAGTATTGTAAGTTAGTTTATACACTTACCCAGTGGAGATCATATGGCTGCAGTAATGCGAATTTTGTCATATTTGAAGTTCTGCATCTGGTAAAGGAATACTTTATGGAAAACATGGACATCTAAAGGTTGAGGGGTTTACAGGTGGAGATTGGGCTGACAATGTTACTGATAGACAGTCTACATCTGGGTATTTTACGTTTATTGGAATTGATTTCGTTACGTGGTGTAGTAAGAAGCAGAAAGTGCTGTCAGGGTCGTCTATGGAAGCTGAGTATAGAGGTATGGCACACAAAATATGGCAACTTCTTTGGTTACGTAAACTTTTGAGATGTTTCTGTTTTAAACCAAAAAAAGGTTATGGAGTTATATTGTAACAAAAAATCTACAAGGGAGTTAATTGATAATTTGGTACAACATGATTGAACAAATCATGTGGAGGTTGATTGGCACTTTGTCAAGGAAAATCTTGAAAGAAAGATTGTGTCTATACCATTTGTGAGTTTGTTCTTACTCATACAGTATCTAGTAAGGTTTCGTATGACTCAATTGTCAAGTTGGGCATGTATAATATCTATGCACTAACTTAAGAGGGAGTGTTGATTTGAGTTTTAATTGTAATTTCTTAGAATTCTATTTTAGGTAGGAATAAGATTTGTAATCCTTAAGATTTAATTTCATTCTCTTTTGTAATTACTTTCCTTGTAGAATAATGAATGTGCCTACGTATTGTAAACCCTAATTGATAAATAAAGTAACGAAATACTGAACGTATTTCTTCTATTGCTCCCAATAAAAATCAAACCCATAATTTCTCTTATTTTCATTTTCTTTCTCTTCATATCAAGCCCATACTTTCTGTTCTTTTCATTTTCTTTCTCTTCAAATCAAACCCATAACTCAAATGAAACCTATATTTTAGTTCATTCCCATGTTTAGAATTTAGATTCAAAAGCTTTCCCTTTCAACCCAAGGATAGTTCATTGTATGCAGCCCGATTTCATTAGAACAATTAGTCCGACATCACCAGAAGTTGTTACTTCCTCTTGAGAAATTTCTTTTATATTGCAAGTCCTTATTTATACTCTACCTGTCATTTACTGTTTGTCTTCAGTTCATTTAATATTTTGCCTTGCCTTCTAAGTAAAGTTGATATGTTGCCCGACATATGGAAATACAAAAATGCCCTTACAGCGATAAAATGTTGCTTGACTAACTGATACCTGAACAAAAAATTTCAAGAGGTGTATATGTAGTTAACCCTATAAATGAATCATGTGATTCATGTTTAAGCTCAATATATATCTCTTTTCTTGTTATTTTATTTATTTTATAAGAAACGATGTTAATTAGATAAACTCAAACTATACATTTTTGTTTTCAAACAAACGATATTATCTATACTAAGGGAGGGGGTGAGCTTAGTCTCACAATAGGTTAGCAACAATGTGGTTCAAATTCGGCTTTGGCGAGAATTGAACCTAAGGCCTCCCACTTACAAGTGAAGAAAAATATCGTTAGACCGTAGAACTAAGTGACAACTTAAACTATACTACTAGACATTAAAAATACTAACTGTAAGAGTATGTTAGGGGATTTGACGGGTTAGGGGGAGTGATTTACTGTTCACGAGCTAAAGGTTTACATTGTACAATGGTGGGAAAATTACTGCGAATTTTAAGTAAGTTGGAAGGATGATTTAAGTTTACCGCCAATTAGTTTTTGAAAGGTGTAAAATATCTCAAGAAAATGGAATTAAATTGCCAGATATATAATATATATAAGCATGTGGTTTATATTGGGCATCATTTCACTATCAGCACCCACCGTTAATCTAATCGAATGTTTTTTCTTGTATGTAAATCTAATTGAATTGTTATGAAAATACAAAGAAAGGGTTGCTTGATTTAAGGAACTGTCGTTTAAGTTTGTGGAGCAGATACATCAATATGTTATATAGATAAGAGTGGCATGACAACGATATGCTACTATTTTTCATTTGATTTGTATTTTTCAATAGGTGATATCTTTTAACTGAGTATTCTGCCACTCAGCACGTCGGGTGTCAAGAACAATCTTGCACAATTTGATCTAATTGAAAAAAAAATTAAAAAAAAATAAAAAATAAAAAATCTCAGAGACTTAGTAGTGCTTTTTTAAAGAATTAATTTGTGGCCTATTGGTTTTCTTTTAAATCTTATGTGCAAATTTGACAAAGACTGGTAGCTCCTCGTCCATGCAGACTTGCAGAGCGATACATTCATTATTTATCCAGCATAAGATAAGTTAAATGACAACTATGAAGTTGGTAAAGCCACATGTTCAACTTGAGCAATCATGCAAACAAACACAAAAACGTATAGACAGAAATTTTAATTATTCTTATTATTTCCAATACCTCAGCTTAAACAACTCGACTCCCAAAGACAGCAAACAGATCCCAGTACTGCTCTTCGATCCTGAGAAATTCCACAAGTTTTACTTCCAGCCAAAACAATAGGTTCTTCTTTTCCGTTGTTGGCGGTTTAATTCATTAATCTTAATTTCTAAGGATGGCAGTAAGTTTCATTGTCCTTTTTGGGGTGCTAGGTAATTTATAAGAATCAGTTCTCCGTGTTTTCTTCGTTACTTTTCATTTTTCGAATTCGTATGAACTGATGTGAAGTGTTACACAATGATTTGCATGTGTTTCAGGTAACATTATGTCGGGATTAGTCTACATCTCTCCTGCGTGAGCTCATTAATTACAACTTACTAACCTTGGTTTTAATAGTTCTTGTGCAGATTTGATTTCTATGGCAACTGATTACGTGAACGGATTGTTTGAATTGTTGTAGGAACGTGTTTGTGCGAATTGTAAAGCGTAGATCAACTGAGGAATTTGAGAGTATTCCTTATGTTAGCAAATTATTGAATGCTTATTTCTGGTCTTACTATGGACTTGTTGAACCTAACAGTGTGCTCGTGGCCAGCGTCAATATTTTCGGTGCTGGTGTTGAGATCGTTTTTCTTACCATATTTCTACTTTTCGCAACACCAAGAATGAAGGTAAGTTGATTTATCTCTGTATTACAAAAGTATACATAAGATACTAGAATTTTCAAGTTCTTATTACTTTAATTATTGATCGCTTATTTGATGGTCATGCGATCTTAGGCTAGGACTGCCATGCTTGTTGCTGCTCTTGATGTGGCATTTCCAGCAGCAGCAATTTTGCTTACTCAGTTTCTGCTACATGGCAACAAGCGAATCGATGTAGCAGGATTGTTCTGTGTAGTCTTCAGCATGATTGCATATGCTTCCCCTCTTTCAGCAATGGTACGTAGGATTAGTACTTGAAAACTTCAAAACAGGCAACATTAATTAAGTAAAGATGTCTATTAACATATATATGCTAAATCTTTTAATGTGTGTAGAAAACTGTGGTGATATTGAAGAGTGTGGAGTACATGCCTTTCCTTCTCTCATTCATCCTTTTCCTAAACGGAGGAGTTTGGACACTCTATTCCATTCTTGCAAAAGACTTGTTTGTTGGAGTAAGTACTTCCGAAGTACCAAATAAAATCACATATTTTGTAAATTTATAAAATAAATAATCATTATTGAGTTTAATATTTGTAACAATGGTCAAACATTTGCAGATTCCAAATGGGATTGGATTTTTGCTTGGAACTGCTCAGCTGATTCTCTATGCGATATACTGGAAACCAACTAAGCCCAATCAAGTATCGGATGACTTAGAAGATCAACAGATTAGTGAAGCACTCGTCCCAGCTTCAAAATCTACATAAGGCTAAAAGTGACATTATGTTCAGAGAAGAAGTCACTATATATTTTCCGGGTAAGAAAGAAGAGGACTGAATGTTAAATATTTCATGAGATATAGGCCACTATATATCATTATATATATGCATATATAGTTTAATTAGGGCCAAAGTAAATTAAGTTAAATTGCTATATATATATATATATATATATATATATATATAGCACTTGTAATATCTGATGCAGCTTTTGATATGAAGCAAAATGTTGCAAACCAATTTGGCGACTGACTGCATTATTTTGAATGATCATGATTGTCATGGACCCATGATTGTCCCATCAAGAATTCTATATGCTACATTATGCATTGGAACGGAAAAGGATCCTCTCTGGATCATCATTGTGGGGATCCGAGAATCAATCAATCACGATCATTCATTGTATATTGTGCGATCAGAAATTATTTAAAATTTAAAATTGAATATAAATAGTATATAACAAAAACTGATCGCACGATATACGATGAACAATCATATGATTAATGGATCTCCGGATCCCACAAAAACGATCCGGAAAGGATCCTTTTCCCATTGGAACCACACAATAGGTATCCGAAAAGATAAAAAAATCGCAGACAAATCATTGGGTTGGTGGGTGCCTGTCTCAGTCCATGACTAGGTGAACCATTTTAATTCTTTGTTCATAAGTAGATATTGGTTTAGATACTTTTCTTCTTGCGCTTATATGGATTTATCCATCCTAAAATTGGTAAATCTCAGATTCACCTCCATGAACTTCTTTTCTATAAATAATTTGTTTCAGGTCACAGAATATTTTCAACGTTAGAATTGAGTAATCAACATTTTGTGCTTTTGAGAGGCCAATAAAGAGAAATTTCAACAAGTTGTGTTGATCTCTTAGTTAGAGGGGAAACTTGTTCTTCTTGACCTTAGTTAGAGGGGAAAATTGTTTCTATTAACCTTTATGTTGAACAGGAGAAATCTTTCCATCTTCTTATGCTAAAAAATGAAACAATCATTGACCTATGCTGACATATGACATTTTTATTGACCTAAACCAAAATTTTCTATTAATTAAGGCGTTGACTAATCAAGAATACTATAAGTAACATTTTAGCTCTATTTTTACAACTCAATCCCTTTCTCTTAGACTTTCACTTTGTGACTAACATTACTCTTTTTGTCAATTCTGTCCATTTACTCATTAACTTTTTAGGGGTCTTTTGATATGGGTCCAAAGTAACTAAAAATTGGATCTATTTTAAAAGTCAAAAGTCATTAAAAATTGCACCTCTTTCAAAATGTGACCTATAAAATTGGACCTATTTCAAATTTTCTCAAATTTTTTTATTACATGATACCCCATATACCATCAATATGACATCCATAGTATTTGTAGAGCATTCAATGAATGGTGTCGACGGATTGAGGTAATATAAAATATAGAGTGAAAAGTCTCGGAAAAAAAGTGATAGAATTGAAAAAATAAAAGGTAAAGTGATACATTGTGATAGTTCATGTGTGTTTTATTAATTAAGCCTTTTTATTATTAATATGTTAACATAAAACCCACAAATGAAAGCATCCAAGATTAGATCTTATGTGTGGTTTGTTCAAATAAAAATTGTGTCCTATGAATCTCATTAGTATCCCAAGAGATACTGAGTCGGGCCACCATCCCATACATTTGTCTGGGTTAAAAAAAAAAATTAACGAAAATCTAAAAAATTTTTAGTTTTAATGAAAAATTACAAATAAATGTGTAGTGAATAGTACCAGGAAAAGGAAAAGATAAAAATGTGGTTTTTTATTAAAAATAAAAAATACTGGAAGTGTTTCATTAAAATTCCCTTAAAAAAATGCATGCAGTTCCCAAAGATATTGGTTCAAAGTAATTAATTTTTCTCCAGCTCAAGTGATGCTTGGTTGATATCCCGACTCACTAAAAACTGCACCCGAAAACCTTTTCACAAGCTTCAGTTTGGCATTGATGACCAAACGAGCGTACTGGTTTCAAAAGCCAAGCATATAAAAGTGACCATGGTGAGTTAGTTAATACAATGTTAATGACTTTTTTGACTTCAATTCACAACATCATCAAGATGAACAATTTAAATCATGAGATAACGTTGTGGAGTGGGCAAATAATTAGCGTTGTATTAGCTCACTAAGTAGTTTTGTGCATGTCTGTAAAGTTTTCTAGCTAATTTTTCATGTTGAGTTATTCTTATTCATCTTGACTTGAATTACTAATCGACTCAAATCGTTAGGTTCGATTCTCGTCAAAAGCGATTTTGAACCATATTATTATGTCAAGCTCATTGTAATGCTTAGTCTACTCCCTCATCCCCCTTTTTTTTTTTTTTTTCTAACACTATCCCATTTCTTTGGTGTAGATACTATCATTTATTAAAAAAAAAAAAAATCGTTCACTGAATAAATGCTAGAATTTTGTTTTTGTATTTTACGGGGCCTCTATTTTTTTTTTCGATTGACCTTTAAAATTACTAAGTCAACTAATGAAAGAAAAAGATATCAAGTGGTAAGGATTCTAGGAATCCTCCAATCGTGTTCGTTTATCGCATATTATAAGGCCAATTTTTGTTAGGTACTGTTTATATTCAATTTTAAATAAAAAAAAATTTACAATGATTGATGATCGCACGATGTACGATGAACGAATACGATTGAAGGATCCTTGAAATCCTCACAAAGAGGATCCGGAGAATTAAGATCCTGTTCATTTTGTTTCAACTAATGAAAGGAAAAAGGACATTAATTTTATGCCCTTGGGATGGCGAAGATTACATGTAATTGCTTCTTTGATTAGATTAGTGGAGATAGTCCTTATTTTCTTTTGGAATATGACTTGTAATACAATATGACTTTGATTTTTAACCTCTCCTCTCTGAATAAAAACAAAAGTTCTGTTGGATTCAACATGTGTGTACCGCGGAGGACTTCATGTTTAAGTAATTATTTTATGGAATATTTCAAATTGCTTAATTGTCAGAGCTCCAATCAAATTCAACAAATGTGAGAGATCTTTTGTTCCGGCTGTGAGAGAGCTTTCATGATTCGACGATGCAACATTTTGAAGGTATAGTCAGCTGTCAATCATATGGTTCACAAATATTGTCTAAATAGACAGTGTCTCCATTATTGCTCGTTCTTTAATCATCAATATAGCAATTTTCTAATCAACTTCCATATTAGATATTTTTCAATCAACTTCAATTTTAGTTATTTTTTCAGAAGTAATATTTAAGGAATGATTTAGAAAATTGACATTTTAAATCATCGTGTAACATTGCTGAATAAGAAGGATATAGGTTGCTAACAATCTCCTCTAAAGAATAGAGCTAGTATAGGCATGGGGGGGTGGATGCCCCCACTCAGTGTATCGGTCCTCTGCAAAAACTTTGTTTGGTTTTGCATTCCAACCAGCCCTGGTTAAACTATAATTATAAAAAAAAAAAAAAAATTTGATAGACAACTCAAGTAAGTCTAGCTTTTTGCATCCCTAATGCCCCCATACGCGATGACAATTAAATTAACAATTAATTTAATTTAAGTGGGTTATCCATTTTGGGCAAAATGGAGGGAAGGAGTGGCAGGTTTTTGGAGAGAGTGAAGTGAACGAAGTGAAAATCTTGGAGGGGTTATCAAAAAGGAGCTAGTGTCTGCTTGCCTGAACTCGTGAGGTGAAGTCACTAATTACTGTGGTGACAATTCTTAAAGAGGAAATAAGAGGATTGAAACAGGAAAGTAAGGAGTTGCATAGACTTGCGGCAAATTACTCAACATCCATGAGAAGGAAGCTTGACTAATTGCAAGAATCTAAAAGTCAGATTGATAACGATCACCAATTGTCTGTGGCAAGATTCCGAAGGCAACCGGTGCCTACCTCTTTTGGAGCTGCGAATGGAGCCGGTGGTGAGGCATAACCGCCGCAGTTTATTATTGGAGGATGCCCATATTCATTCAAATCTTTGTCTCCGTCCCTGATGCTCCTCCTCCTTAATATAATCTAATTGGTCTAACACACTTTTGTAATTTCCACAGGATAAATTAGTTTCTTAAAATGATAAATTAGTTTGTATAATCTTCCTTACTTTTTACTAAATCACACGAACAAATAATATTTGTAATTCACTATAAAAGATTTATAATATTTCCACAAACATCATCTGAATGGAACTGCCAAAATACCACCCAAATAAGAACTCTTGCGAGTTTGGAACCCAGACTCTACTGTTGCAAGTTTCTCAAAATGATATAAATAATCCTATCGCCCATATAGATGAACTCGTGCAATAAACTAAGGGGTATGACATCCACATATCATTTTTTATTTCTTATTGACCCTTCTAATTTTCGGCCATCGGAACGGATGAATTGAAGAAGATCAAAGGGCAGAAATTAACAAAGAGTGTGTGAAAAATGAAAAAGGGTGTATGGATAACACACCCATAAATGAATCTTCAAGCCAAAGCCCTATTTCAACAACTTCAAACACACACCAAAACCTAATTTGGTTTCTTCCGAATTTGAGTGGTAGCCTGATGGGAACTTCCATCTTTCTAGGTTAAAGATTTTTTAAAACTAATAACATTTATTGGTACTTTAGATCCACATGAGGCCAAACAACTGTTATCTAACGTCCCATTCCATATTTTACGAATTTCAAAATGTCGAGGGTAAATTGATAATTTCACATTAGGAGATATTTTATGTTGTCTTTTATGGCTTGTTTTGTGTGCCATGTGGGACCCGTATCCCACTCAAACTCTCATTTTCTCTCATCTCTTCCCTCAGCTCTCTCTCTCATCTCCATCCGTCATTCTCTCCTCCCCCGAGCACACCCACACGCATACTGGACCACCTGCTAGCCATCCTCTCCGGCGAGCACCACAAACCACCACGATTTGTGGGCCTCTTTTCTTCCCCTCTCGTGACTCTTCTCCTTTTTCTCTTAGCTCTCTCTTTTCTTCAGACTCTCCTTTGTAAATCGGAAAAAAAAAAAAACCACACCACCATCGCCATTTTTCCATGGCAGAAAATCATGTCACCAACCACCATTCCTCGACCATCTACTGCATCCTCAAAACTCGAACAAAGAGGCACAAACCACCAAGCTACAATGCGAAGAAAGAACTCTGGCGAGATTTCTCGTCTTCCCAGTTAGGGTAAACCTCGCGATACTTGAAATCCCTTCATTTTCGTCCTTGTGGTTTAATTCTGACCTATATTATGTATTTTGAACGA